TCCCATGACCACGCACCACTTCCATCTCCCTTTGCCTCCTTTGGACAGGATGCTGCCGACCACACTTCCCAAGGAAAGATACCGCACGCAGGCCGAGTGCTGGACATCCAGGGCAACAGTGCAAGGGCTCACTGCAGAATTCAGCACCAGGCAAACTCTCTTCATCTTAGATGTTATAGCTGCTGGATAGCAAGACTGTAGCCAAAATATCAATCAAACTAGTGCCTGCTCACTCTTTAACAAATCCTGACACCATGTAGGAGGAAACCATCCTGTTTCCTAATGCCAGTATTCTCAGAACAACTAATTATCCTTAGAGTTCTATATCTGGCTTTATCTTGTTCACCCTTTATTTCCCCTGAACAGTATCTTAGGCACTGTCATCCTTTTCTCTACAGCTCACTTATGACTTAAACCAGTTTAGTCTCACACAAATACACCATTTCACAGTTAACAGCATGGCCTGCAAGGACTAGCATCTTACAAAATGACTGTTTCAGAAATAATTTCTTAAGATTTTTAAGAAATTAAGAAAATATCCATTGCTTTCTACCAGTCTCTATGGCTTGGCAAGGATTAAAATCTATATCGTAATTAAGGAAGTCATAAAGCTTGTGCATCTGTAGCTGAGGAAGAAGAAACTGAGCTACCATTTCAAGCAAGGGGAGGATTTCCACACCAAATGTACTTATCCACGACAAGCACAGTATCATTAAGGTAAGCAGAGGTCTATAATTTTGGCAAGTGTGTTTTTAGTACAGGACTCTACCAAGTTGGGCAAATCCACAGCTTCCCCTACACAGAGCTACAAAACAAGAACAGTCAACAGCACCGGACTGACACAGGTCAAAGACTCGACTAAGTGGTCTCAGAACTGAATCCCATGTTTACCTGCCAGCTGGATTTTCAATCCTGAATTCATCCTTGTTCAGCTGTAAATCCTTTCTCGGGCTCTGGCCATATGCTTTTTTTAAAATGCCTGATTCGGATCAGCAGACTGCAAATTTGTTCCCCAGAACCAAATCTGGATTTAACAAACATTTGATCTGGATCCGATTGCCACGGATTTTGCAGGGAGATGGACAAAAGCTTTTAAAGCAGATAGGAAAATTATGCTGAGATGGTAAATTTCAGCTTGCTATGGCCTTTGTGTTTAGCAGCAATTAAAAGGTGATGAGAATCATCCACTTCAATCATATGCTCTAAAACCTGAAAGGGGCAGAAGAGACAGGCAGCTCAGACTTACTTTTCAGACTGCGGTCCAACACTTGGGGTACTGGTGCCAGGATTTTGGAGGAGATTGCAGTGGCCACCTGGGGTGAGACTGGGGGAGGAGTCCCTCCAATAACCATTCTGAAGTGTGATCCAGATTCTGGAACAGAGTCCTGCTTCTCTCAGTGCAATGCAATCTACCAAACCTTTATCTCCCTACAAAACACGGATTTATATCAGAAATACTAAGAAGTTAAAATAATTGAATTAAATCCTCATTAAATTTTACATATAATAGAAGTATTTGGATAAATTACTTTCCAATAGATTTAAATAAACAAACATTACTTTCCTTGCAGTGAACAGACCTATTGCAATACCTGACTCAGCTGACATTTCAGTGATCTTTAAATTCATTTATGTGCATTGTAAACTTATGTGGTAGGTAAATTCATGTCATTTCTATAAATACTTCTGAAAAACTTTGTAATACAAAGAAAAATCCTCCTGAGAATTACTTCAGTGAAAGATGTTGTATGCCACTAAGAAAGGTAATTGCTACTGGTAATGTATTTCACTTTGTGTATTCTTTAATAACGTTCTTATATAACCAAATACAAAAAGGCAGTGACAGTGTACCCAGCCCTCTCTTTCATTTTCTTCCATCAAAATGGTCTACCAGTTTTTCTTGCTAACCTGTGGCACTGTGATTTCTAAAGGCAATACATTCAAGACAAGATGCACAAAGGCATTAAAATTTTTACGTTAAGAGCCAGGAAGAGAGAACAATGAAAATGCTTAAGAAAGTGATAAATATAGCCTTTGAAAAAATTGATAAAAATCATAAAGTGCAAAAGTCCTTCAAGGAGACTGTACTTTTATGTATAGCACAAAGCTGTATTTTTCACATGAATTTTAAATTTTAACTATGACAACAACATGCTGGCACAGACAGTAGAAGCCAATACTCTGTGCAGGTTTCAAAAATATTAATATTTGGACAAAGAGACGTAAACAATTGTTTCCTGAAGGCAAACTCAAGAGTAGCATGAACTACTTCTACAAGCAAGTACCATCTAAGTACAGGTCACCCTTCTTTAACCTTACTTCACCTGACAGCTGTCAGTATACAGGATCAAACTCAGCACACACCCAAAATTTTATTACTCTGGTTTAAAAACAGGGCAGATATCCAAGATCCATATCCATCCAAGATCCATACTCCAAGATTCTACCATTACCAAAACTGTACTTCAAACTGTCTTTAAGATGAAACTCAGTATGCTGGAATTTAAAATAAAAAAAGCCAAGAAAAAAGCAAAGAAAAGAAGAAAAAAAAATAAAAAGGAAAACACAAGAGCAGCTTCTCATCTTTCTGTTGCTTAGAAGGACTCCTGCTATGACAGGCACAGAATTCCCAACTTACCACAGCAAAACAAATGGAAAAAACCCTCCTACAAGAGTAATGCCTTTCCCTGTTTTCCAGCAAGTCTCTCTTTATAACCCCTCTTGTGCTCCACGCTACCAAAGCCCAGGAATGTCTGTTTGGTTCCCTGTCTAGGCTACGCCTAATCTCACGCTCTGCAGAGGTACCAAGTGAGCTTTGAACTCCTCACATCCCAGAGCAATTGCCCTCACACAGCACACACTCTGCTAACGAGCGTGGCTGCTCCACATCAGCAGAACAAGGTCTAAATAAATCCACACTCTACTGTGTGGTTCAGTACGAATGTATCCTGAAACCAGCAGTAAACACATCTAATAACAGTACGCATCTCCTTACACTGCATTCTCAAATGGCCATAAATTTTTACGTATCTGCTAGGAATTGTAACAGACAGCAGTGACTAAAACAGTAGTTCTAATAATTAGCTGGCATATCTAGAAGAAACCTTTTTGGGATAGCAAGATAACCTCCATTGTTGAGCTGAGCAGGGCTAAAATGAAGTTATTTCCAACATGATCACAAATATGAAGAGAAAAGCCTGCTGTAATTGCTTTGTACTTGATAGCACGAGCAGACCAGAAATACCATGTCCATGTTCCCATTTTTAATTATATTTCTTCATTTTTTTTCAGACTGCAGCCAGGTGTTTCTCTCTTGTCAGACCATAGTCTGAATATTCCCCTTGAGGGCAAAGACAGTCTCACTAAAAGCACACTTAGCACACGGGAACTTAGTAATGGCTCATTTAATCTCTTTGAAGCCTATGGTCAGAGGTCCTTAGATGCGGTGCACTGCATCCCTGTGCATTAACAATGGAATATTACAGTCATTGTGTTTCACAATGTGTGGCATAGTGTACATGTGTAACCACACCTTGAAAGATTAGTTTTCTTCAGCTCTTCCAGTTTAGATAAATATACTGCACACTCTGGAAGGAGATGCTCATATTGATTGCTGCTATTTGAGTGGCAGACACTCTGTTTGTTTAAATGATGCTTTGTCTGAAGAACCTGGAAAAAAAGTCTTTAGTGAAGGTTAGCAATTGTTTCTCACAGGTAAAATTACACCCTTTTCAGCACTAAGTTCTCTATACTGGAAAGGCCAAAACAATCAATCACCTGCAATGACATTATTTCATATTCATCTGATATACATTATTTTGAAAAAAAAAAAAAAAATAAAATCCTCCATTTACTGAAAAAATTAGAAAGGTCCAGCTGTGTCAAAGATTAGAAAATCTCATTTTATTCTTTTCCTTGTAGCAAAATCAAGATGATATTTTATTTCACTTTTTCCACTTGATAAAATATTTTTTTAAAATACAACAAATTATTTGCCAAGGTTTAAGTATGTGAACATCACTGTCCATTTTCATAGCAAGATATTTCACCTAGTTATATTTATAAAGGAAAACCAGATTGAATATCACATTCCCATTTGAAATTTGGACTTGATAACTGCAAATAAAAATTAAAAAACATTTCTGTTTTCCCCAGGTTTAGTCTGCATTTGACAGAGCACTGGGGATGCCAGTTGCATAGTATGAATTGCCTCTTTCACCTCCTCTTATGAAACTCCAACATTATTTAGACTAAATCTTCCCTCAGACCTTGCCAGAGAGGGCCAAGATCAGGAGAAAAGCTGAAGCTGAAAAGGAAGCAGGTGAGAACTGAGCATTCTTCATGAGAATGAAGAAGAGGGAAAACAAAACACAGTCAATGCAATTTGTGTGCTGCTGCTTTGAAAATGACTAGTTGCACCATCATTAATCTCCTCAATAGAAACAAAATGCCCCTATCCAGCCACATAACACAGTCTCTTAAATTCACTGAGCACATAAAATGTAGGGGGTGCTCTACAAAACCAGTTAATTTTAAATGGATTCATACTGGAAAAACAACAACAGAAAGTCATTACAGAGCAGTATAGCATAGTCAAGACTTAGCTACATTTTCCCAACGCAGAGGAATATTTCTTTAGAAATTGAAGTACAATAAAGTTAAAAGACATTATTTTATTTATAAAATATTTACCTAATAATTTACCAACATAATTTTTCTTGTTTTCTAAACATATTTGAAACTAAATCCAATGCCATTAGACTTTTTGCAATTAGGGAAAAGGGTGGAAGCCACTTCAGGGAAGGTATGTGGAGTGAGAAAATGACATACAATTGGGAAGTGGATGTGGGGCACTGTATCACAATGCAGCATCTCTTATCTCTCAAAAGGCAGAAAAGTCAATTTAATGCACCTAGAACTACACCCTGATAGAATCTATTAGTCTCCAGACCTATATTTTGCATCTCCAATATCTTCCATATTTAAGCATGATTTGAGGATTAAAAACTGTCTTCTCTGACATCTTCAGGTTCATACATACTTCTCCATTTTTGCAGTTCCTGAGAATCATTTATCCCCCATATTTCAACAAAGGACTTTAGCTTTTTTCTAGGGAGGAAAAAAGAAAAAATAAAAATAAGGACACATTTTTAAATTAAGCATATAAAACCTTGAAAGCCTTACAGATATCTGCAGAATTTTATATAGAGTCAAAAATAGCAGTTTGCTTAGCTCAGAATGTTACATGATCTTAAAACAATCAGTTAACATTTTCCAGTTACTGACTTACAGTACCAGAAGCATTGACAAGATGAAACAAAAAACAGAGAAAGAAAAAAAAAAAAAGAAATAAATAGTATTGTAGTTTCCACCATTTAATCTTCAGCATTCAGCTCCAACAAATTTGCACTGGTAGGATCATAAAGAGATAATGCATGTTCAAAGCAAATGAGTACACACATCTTTCCTATTTTCTTTTTAATATTTTTTGATTTAAGAAGGACTCTTTAGAGCTCTGACAAATAACAAGACATTGAAAATGGGTTAACACACACTCCTGATGACAAAGATGTCACGACTGGATGGAATTATCCAGTGGATTTTCTTAAATAATGTGAAGGCAATTAAAAAAAAAAGACAAGGCAGCTGGCCTGTGGGTATTGTGACAGCACAAGTATACTGCTATGAACAGGTCTGAATTTGATGCCCAAGACTGTGATAATTTTTATTTCCTAGCACAGATATACCATACCAATTTTTAAATTTGTTAAAGTCTCTTTTGGGGAGAAGGTATAGAAGAATACTTTGACATTTAGATTACATCGTGGCAATACGTAAACAGGAATATACAAAAGAAAATATTTCTATAATGGCCTGCATAAGAGAACTAGAAAAAATATGAATTACGTAATTCAATAGTTTATGCACTGTGAAATCATCAAACATATCTGATTCTTTTTTAAAAATTATTTTTCACTGACCTAACCTCCAGGTTTGTATAGATGCATGCATGCTCTCTGATTCATAGCTGAAGTTTTGGGGGCAGGGAAATATTACAATTGTTCTGACCTTTTCATATTCAGTATTCTCTCCAACTCCTTTGATTTGTGAGCCGCCTTCTTCAAGATTTCTTCAGGAATATCAGCCAGTTTGGCAACATTTAGCCCATAACTCCTTGCAGAGACTCCTTTAGTTATTTGATAAAGAAAGGTGATAAATTCAGGATTCTGTTCATCTTCAGATCCTAAAAAAAAATAATAATAAAAAAAATTTAAACCCCCCCCTCCTCTATTATGTTAATAAAGGGTAGTAGACCAAAGACTAAAATGGCAAAGGCTGTGGTTTCATTATCATTCATGCTTCCTGTGTGATGTATTCCATTGAACAAATACAAAAGAAAAATGTTTCCTTGAGATGACACATTTTACCTACCCACTGTGAAACTGAAAAAAACTCTTTACTAAGCATTTTCTATGGGGCTAAGCTAAAATACTAATAATGAAAATACTAACTAAAGAGTAACAGTGACAAGAAGAAATGCAGTAACTCTTCTCTGACTGGTAAGAACAGAACTGAATGGGATTATGATAAGCAATCTGCAAAATTTGGCATGGCATAGAGAGGATGAACAGAGATTACTCCTCTACCTCTTCTAATTCAAGAGCTGGTACCAAAAAGTGAAGCTATGTGTTGTTTCAAAGGAGTTTCAAAACAAACAAGAGGAGGTGGTTCTTCACACACAGTTTTGGAGCTCCTTGAGACAGCAGGATGAAGATGCTAAAAGTCACAAGGATATTTAGGATATATAGACTACCTCATTGAAATGAAATCCGTTGAAGATACTGAAAACCAGAAAACACATCTGCTTCTCGCAGCTCCCTAAAATGTTTGCAGACAGTGAGACCTTTTAGAGAAAGAGTTGCCATATGTTTGATCCCTAATCCCTCCTCCCTAATCCTTTGTATTTGCCTACTGTGAGAAACTGGATACTGGGCTGAGTGAATCTTTTAACTGACCTAGCTCAGTCATCCTTATATTACATGTGAAAGAGATATGATTGTTCAGTTTTCAAGCCCCTCAAAATGAATGTACAGGCTGAAACTCTAGTAAGTTTGGTGGCATCTCTTTCATGTTGAAGTTTAAATTACTGTAACAATTTTACAGTTTCTGCCTATACCTATAGTGCTAAATCTCAGATGGATTTATACTGTACCTTTTTGTTCACCACTTTCCTCCTCATTCACCAAGAAAGCCATGTGGTAATTACCAACTTTTTCTGGATACGCCTTCTCTAGCTCACAAACCGAGGGATAGTGAGTGACAAACAGTGTCAGCGACTCCACCTACAACAACGGAATAGACACATAAGAAAGGCTGGCTTTATAATTCTTTTAAACACAGCAGCATAGCACTGGTATCCTTTATCCATACCCCTTTGCTCTGGGTTTAGGCATGCCACATTTCTACAAGGAAATACACACCACATTAAAGTCAGCCTACCACACTACACGCTGAGAAAACATTCACAAGCACGTGTCAGATGGAACACTTACATCTCTAATAAAATGTTCGAGTGTAGCGTAAGCAATAGCTATTCCATCATGTGTGCTAGTTCCTCTTCCCAATTCATCCAAAATTACTAGTGATCTTGAAGTTGCTTTTCTTATTATCTCAGCAGTATCTGTCAGTTCTTCCATAAAGGTACTTCGACCTTTGTAAATGTTGTCTGCTGCACCCATTCTGCATTGGGATACAAAACAGAACAATTTATTAAGTTCAAATAAATGCCAGATAACGCTGAAAAAAAAAATCATGATAGAGAAGCTATTTTGTTCTAAATCTCTTGGTGCCACTCCAAGCAGAGCAGAAAAACCCAGGCAGAACATTCACCTTCCAGAACGAGCTATTGCTTAGGAGAAAAGGCAGTAACAGCACAAGGCACAGATGTGAGGGTACTCTTAAAAGACTGAAAAGTCCAAAGGGAACTCCTCATTTACCATTAAATATGGGTCTGCATGCATCCCCGAAGAGAACGGGGTATACAGACGCTACGGGCAACTGGGGGAGGTCAGACTTAGGGACAGCAGAGAATTTTTCTGAGCCATCAACAATCCAGTCCCAAGGTAAACTCAGACAGAAATCTCAGTATTCTATGTCAACTACAGGGATCTGGGGGGAAAAGCGGAGGTAGACAAGGGGTTATTTCTTAGCATGAAATTCTTCCATCTTAAACTGTACAAGGTGGGCTGCTCTTCCCTTATATAAGGACCCTGGAAATTCAGACCAGTCAGCTCACTAGAAGAATTCCAAAGGTAGCTGTGAAAATGAATTTTACTTTTTTGGTTTTAGTTCAAACATCAAATTTGTATGTTTTTTTAAAAGCTAACAACACCTGAAACTATCAGATATCATAAGTTCCATGTACAGACAGAGTGGACACTCATGTGTCCAGTTATTTGTGCACCCAGATACAGCAGTTGGTTCCTTCAGACAGTAACAAAATAATAATTATTTCCCCTAATTGCACAGGTACACACTCTAACTAGCATGCTTAAACATGATTTTTAAAAAAAGATTTCTCTCCTCATCCTCTTACACATCTGTCCTTGAACTTACTGGTCTCCAGGCAGATGAGCTTCTCCTCTGCTCCACACACACATACCTGTGCACATGCACATACACACACAAATTCCTTCATGTTTTATACAAGTCTTTTAGCCATGTTTCAGATTTTGTGCAACCTCCAATCCTCAAATTCTATCTCAAATGGTGAAATTGCACTGTTGGTAATTTACCCTGTTTTTTTCTTCTGCAGCTTTCCTTACCTATTCAAATAATATCCTTTCTACCTGGAAGGAAGAACATATCCTTTTTCCATATATGCTTTTCAACTCCATCAATCACATCACAATATCACTTCTGAGACAGGTCATCACTCGCAAGCCACTGAGTAGGGCTGAAAAAATGGATTTCTTCACTCTCACCAGCCAATAATATAGTTACATACAAGCCACATTGATTTAAGGAAAACTGACTCATGGGATTAGCATATTACATTTTCAAATGCAACAGCTGGCCACAACAGTATTTAAAGCCAATCAAATCTTCAAAGAGAATCCCAATATAGCTTTTTTTTCTCTCAGTCTTTTCTGTTTCTCTCCAATATAATTGCTTCTGTTGCCTACAGAAATACTAACAAGATACTCATAATTTATGAGGATCTTATGATTGTCAAGAGTAACTGATTACCAATAGCAGGTTGGACCCAGTACAACTATCATTTCTATAAATTCTCTGGTTCCTGCCTTGGAAATCTGGCACAGTGGCATGCATAAGTTCACAATATGCAAACCTTCAATTTTAAATGAATTCATTTTGGCTGGAGATGGGTGTTATGATACTATGAGTAAACTGAGTGTTTTTATTTAATTGAGTATGTGCTTACACACACACACAGTAGGTATACTCCCGTACACTCTGGAATAAAGGTGATTTTGCACATAAGCTAATTAAACTTTACATTAATTTCACTGAATTAACTATATAATTCAGGATATTGAGGCATTGTGAAATTAACATTTTATTAAGCCACTTACTGCTATAATCTTTTAAAATGCTGAGTTAAGAACTAAGAACATAATCATTTCTCATAGTGTCCCCAACACCCCCCAGCCCTACTTCTAGTTGGGTTCAGTCACCACGTACTACTGTAAAATCAAACAATCCCCCTTTATTGCAACAGATCCACAGAGAACAATATAAACTAGATCTATTTTAAACATTATTAATTACAAATAAATTCACCAGGAAGAAAAATACTTTTTACATCCAAACAATCTCTGGCTCCATAATGGGCAACTTTAACCTTAGTTTCCAACCGTGGGATTATTAGTATTATTATTTTATCATTTTACTTGGCTTTTCATTACAGAGACAGCATCTAACAGGCTGCCTGTTCTGCACCTATGACAATTCCACTGAGAACTTTCAGTTCTATTTTTCTCTTGGACTGCATAATTTCCACAGAGCCCTCAAAATCATTCAGTCATTTTGTATCTAATTTGCATTCACAAAAATAATTTTCAGAACTTCCTCACTAAATGCTCAAGACACAAACAGAAGAGAGTTATCTTTCTCTTGTTGTTAACAACAGCTGCAAAAGAAGCCTTTCTTTTCAGAATCTTAAAACATTCAAATCCGACTCAGGCTTATCAACAGATTTTTTTTTTTTTTTTAAAGTGTATTTTTAAATGACATAAAAACTCTTAAATGTCATCCTTTGAAAAATGGGTAAAATGGTTCTTTCAGCCTCTGTCCTTGACACTAGAAGAATCATACTTGTTTTTTAAATTTACATGATAAGCAATATTATCCCAGAAATAAGAATAACTATTTTAATACGGAAGACTGCATTTATAAAACTAACAGTTAATATGCAGCAAGGTATTAATCCCCAAATGTATGTTTTATTATTCCTGATACAATAAAGTTCAGGATTCAAAACACCTGTTGCTTAAACAATTCTTTTCCTTCAAGTTTCAAACAGCTGTAGTAAGTCTCACTAAACTTGTGTAAGATTCAATCACTTTGAATTTACATTTTAATGTGGCTTGCCTCTTAAATGGTTTTATACATCAAAATATTAAACTTTTTCTTACAATATTTAATAGAATCCAGATGATTTATCAGTGTTAGCAGCTACTCTATAGGTAAGATTATAGATATAGTATTACAGATAGAGATGCTACCGCTATGAATTGTTGGGGTAAAAATGCTACAAGAAGTGTTACAGATACACACCACAGATACTCATCTTAACGCTGCCAGCACTAAAACCACGGGGTTTTTTGTTTCTTTTTTTGTTTGTTTGTTTTTACACATAGTGCTAATAAAGTCTCTAAGACTCATTTTCTCTGGAAAGCTGCCTACAATGGGACCAGATATTTTTCTCACTTTTATAGGTATACAAAAATAACTATTTGATTACATTTTAGTGCTAAATTCATCACTATGGTCGATAACAATATAGTGAAATACATTAAGGTATAGTTACATTAGGTATAGTCATCCCTGAGTGATGCAGACATGTTATGCACTACCCAAATTTTGTTTTCTTCCCTCTATTTAAAAAAAAAAAAAAAAAGAAAGAAAGAAGAAGAAAAAAGCACCCAGGAAAAAAGGTTACAACAGAATAAGAATGTCACAAAAGCAAGAATAATGCCACCCAACTTCACCAGTTCTATTCTTCTATTTGTTAAAACACCAGCTGCTGATAGCAGTGACATAGTTAATATAAAAACTTCTATTTCTGCTGTGGAATTTCTAATGTCTACATGCAGAAAGATTACTGCATTTTGCCCATAAGGAGTGTGGAGATATCCAATGTGAAGAGTGCCTCTTTAGTGCTGGCAAGAGATCCATCGCTCCTCGGCAAATGCAATTTGGCTGGAAACCACTTGTTATAATGTCTTTGACAGCCAACCAAATTTCATAAAATTAAAAGCTCTTCAACTTAAAATGTTCAACACATTTATTATGTAAAGAAAAAAAAAAAAAGCGTAGACATTACCTCTTTTCAGTGCTAGGTTTCATTGTAAAATAGCCTCAGAAAAAACAACAGGGAGGTCATGTTTTCATAAATTAATTTCTGGAGGATGAGTTAGATGACAGGCAGCAGTAGCTAGCTTTATGTAAACCAGGTAGCACTATATGCTTAATCTGTATGTGACCCCTTAGAGAAAAAGATAGAGATTTCCCTATTCTGCAGTAGCAGCATTCAAATGGCTGGTTTTTTAGCCTGCTCTCCTCAGTCGACACATGCACACAGTGCTGACCTTTTCCAATACAAGTGCTCATCATCCTCAGAAGGTATACTACGATATTTTGTCCTAGGAGCCTCTATAAATGTTGGGAATTTTTTTAATGATACAAGCTATTCTCCCACTCAGAAACCACTAGAATTAAATAGAATAACTTTTTTCCTTGCACCTCAAGAATTTTTATGTAGTCAGTATCCATTTACTTGCTCTCAACAGGCACAAACTGAAACTGCTAAACTGTGTGGCCCTGAAAGTTACCTTGAGGTATGGTGCTTTCAAGCCTTTTATCAGCTAGACACGTCTGAGGGCTTTGACAGCCATCCATGAAAAATTTGTGTGGAAGGAGGAAATTTAAGTTGAGGCGACTGAGCTCTTTTTGGACAGTGTCCTGTTATTACTGCTCTCAAAAAAACAAAGCATCCTGGAGAAGACGAGAGACTTGCAGACTTGATGACCAACAGTGGCATAAGTACAACAAAACAACCCAAGACATTGTTCTGGACTGAAGCAGAGAGGCCCCCAGAGAACTGCAGCTGCCCTATGCTAGCAGTCCAGGCGTGAAAATGATGATATGTGGGTTAAAATAGAAATTGTCCCAGAAAACAGTGAAAAAAAACAAATTTCCCAAGCAGAAAAATGAATCTGAAATCCAGAAAACTTCTAGGAAAGGCTTTTTCGATGCATGCTACTTTTCAAAAGAAGTTACCCAACATGCCGTTAGTTGGCTTGGTTATAAAACTAAGAGCACTGTGTGGACTTCAAGTATTTTATTGTTCTTTTATGTTAGTGAGGATCCCTGACATTGCTTGTGAAAATAACGCCCAAGAGCTCCTAGTGGTAACAAAAATCAGCTACACAGCACTGAACTAATCCTAGAAAACAAGACTGCAAAACCTTTCTCAAAAGCCTTGTTTTTATACA